ACAGTCATCATACTGCAAATAGGAAAGATTGATATGGACGGCAGCTAGAGAAGTTGCGGCATTACATGAAATGTATCAACTGCTCGAAAGCAAGCATTCAGCTGATGTACCTGCAGTGCTGGTTCTAGACCAGTAAGTGGGGGGCCAGTCAGGGGCCACTTGTGCTTTTAGTGGGCACACTTTATCAGAATGAAGCTGATAAAATATGATAGGTGCACAGAAAAAATAGTCCAACAACACAGTTGAATCACAAATAAAAGATGCTATCATTGCATGTTAAAAACTGATGATGTATTACCACAAGCACAAGCAATGGTACGGTGCACTGACCTTAGGGCTGGACACTTAATCAAAGGCGATTTAGTAAACCTTTACTTGAAGGTGATCATGAAATTAAACTTGATGCATGCTCTTGGCAATTGCAAAGATGACATTGGACCCTATCATACACCCGGGGCAATAAGGCGCAAGGCGTGTATGGCGTGATTTGCTTCTTTTTTCAGACCAGCGCAACCCTAATTTACACATTTTGCACCACATTGTTTAAATAGCAAATCCATTTGCGCCACTTTGTGGATTCATGGGTGTTTCTGTCTAAAAAGGAGGTGTGTCAAGGCACATAGTTGTTGCCTTGCTAATTTGAGGAACTGAAATTGACTGCACCATCGAACAACTAAAAGCTGGTCTAAAGTCCAGCGCAAAGCATGTTAATTATGCGCCAATACTGGGTTAAATGCTTACATATTGCTTAATACACACAGGATGTAAGAAAAAAAAATATTAAAACGTTACAAAATTATTTTCTACATAAATATAAAAACCTCTACCTCCATGCCGCTTTCATGACAGGGGGCTATTTTAAATGTATTCATGACAATTTGCTTTTATATAATGTTATTACTATTACAGACTGCGTCTATATTTGATATAAACGAACTTCTTGGGCTGATGATACCATGTGTGTGATTATTGAAGTGTCTCCGCCATCTGATTCATTCAGAAAGAAAAGGACAAACGCGAGAGTGAAGCGCAAACAAAGGAGAAGCCCAACAAAACTCAGGAGCAAATTGTTTCAGCAACCTAAATCATGAACAAACTTCCATGTTTATCATCACCTATGAACTCGGAATGACGTCAGTAGTGATTCACTCTCTGTATTATGCTGCCTGACTGCCTGTGGTTTCAACTAGGTCTGGTGCTGACGTAATAATGGCGGGTACAGCCCCTCACCTCTGCTCATGTTCAAACCAAACTGAGATCAGCGCGGTGTTTCTTATGCCGAGTTTTTATCCGTCATACATGTTGCAAGATCGAGTTGATCGAATATGTCTTGACATAACCCACACAGAAGTGACTTAGTAAAGTCGTGTATGATTTTAATCATTGTATTGGTCTGAATTCCCTTGTCAGGCAGAGCTGGAGCATCAAACGAACAGTATAAACAGAAGAAAAACACACAACTCAAGACCCATAAATGCTTGTATGTGTTGTATTTTCACCAGCGCTGTGATGCTCGTCCACAACTTCATGCAGGGGGTTAAATTAGGCTGTCCAGTCTCTGTGTTCAGTCCGTTACAATCATGGTGGAAACCCAGACAGGCAGTCAGGCAGCGTAATACAGGGAGTGAATCAAAGCGCATCAAATGATCAGTAATTAAAAAGGAAAAAAAAAAGAAAAACAGAATAAAAATCTATACTTTTATATTAGACACACATCTGATGCTTGTATTTGCAGCATCTCCACGTCCACAACTTCACACATTGGGTTAAATTAGGCTTTACAGTCTCCTTTACTTCCATTGTTTCTGTTCAGCAGAGGGAACTCAACCAACCCCGTGACGTCAGACACAGCGACATTCCAAGAAGGCGGCACCCTAGGTCTAAAATCTATAGTAAAACATGCCATTTTCTGCTAAACAGTTACATTAATCGAGTTTGGTTAATATATTTTCATTAAGGTGGAATCCAATGTACAAATAAGGTAAACTTGACTGAGTGCTTCATTTCCCCTTTAACCCAGTTTGTTCTACATGTTCTGTGCTATAGGCCACCTAACAGCATAGTATAAACGTTCCAGGAATGCTAAATGTAGTAAGATGAGTTAATTACCAAAATTATTTAGATTACAGAACATGGCTATGACCAGTTTAATGATGTACCGTAGCACCCAAACCATGTTGATAGATTTCCTTTATAAAGTAACCAAATTTAGCGTATTTTGGTTTATTATGAGCAGGTATTTTTCTTTATACCATTATTTGGCAACAAAAATGATATGTAAAATGCATTTTTCACTAATCCACTATCCCTCGATTGCAAATATAGGGGTGCCATTGAGGTGGCAAAGCTTGTTAACACAAGGGCACGGTAACAGCCCCTTTGTACCTGTGAAAAAATCTCAGAGCCAATGCACTGAGCCAGAACTCAAACCGTTTTTACGATGATGCACATTACCAAACACCAACGCATGGGAAGCTTTCGAGAATGTCTCGCGTTGAGGCTGGGATCTTTGTATGCTAACAGATTGGAATGGAAATATTTAGCCTCATTACAAGGTTGGTAAGACTCAAGCAAACTGAGAGGAGCGCCAGGATATGAAGAGTGCGCTTGAAAATATTTAGTCATGCATTATTCATTATTGTGATTCCTCTCCTGCCTCTAAGCTTATTTCCAGAGTACCGGCCATAGGCACGAGACACAGCAGAATGATTTTTCACACTCTAGTTGCTACAGCATTGCCAAACACTGTACACACGAGAAGGGTTTTTCCCGAAGGGTAAGGCTGTGTCTTTTAGTCGGCTGCATTATTCACAAAAATAGTTCACCCCAAATTTACGGTTCTGCCATTATTTACTCATTATCATGCTGCGTTGAAGCCACATGCTGTTTTGTTTTCATTTTTTCATGGGTAAAAAAGGAACACATTTTTAAATAACACCGCTTGCTGAACTGTTGTGCGTAAGCAGGTTGTCAATTTGTAAAATAGAAAAAAAAATGTGAATTTTATTTGGAATTGTTTAGTGAAAACAAGGTGTTTAACTTTCATTATTCATTGAAAAGTGTATATTGCTTACACATTTTGGTTCTGGTTGGATCAGCCGAATATATATTTTAACCCATTTTGTGTCTAAACACTAAATTGCCATTATTGAATGTATTTCTATATATTTTTATAGAAATAAAAATGAAAACATTCTTAGAAATGTCAAATACATATTACACATATTACCATACAGTATATATATATATATATATATATATATATATATATATATATATATATATATATATATATATATATATATATACACACACACACACACACACACACACACACACACACACACAGTATGTTATTATTGTAAGTGAACAAACACATATGAGTTGTTCATAATATTAACACGAAAGTTCATCTTAATCATACGACTATGAACAGACTGATGTTATTTTTCTTGCAATCAATGCACTTTGATTAATATTGCCAAACAAACAAACAAACAAACTGCATAGACAATATATTAATTTATACAACAGTTCTGTCTGGTTCTCGAATCTGATTGGCTGATAGCCGTGCAATATTCTGCAATTTCAGAACTCTTACAGCCTCTTCACTCTTCTGTATTACTCCGCCCACATAGAGTGACAGCAGATCAATAAACTCACTACAGTTTGACAAATATTTCAGCTGTTGGACAACATCTGGAAGCTTTTTAGGCAATAGTATAGCTGTTTAAATTGCAACTTTGCAGTTTATTTATAAGGAAAGTGGCTATTTTACATATTTATCATTTCTGAGATACAGAGCGTCAGCATCCATCAGCCTTTCATTGAGCAGTGCAAAACGGTTGACCTTGTCCATCCACATGATGGCGACAGAGACCACATAATAAGCCATTAGAAGAGAAAATATCTGATATTTTCAAACTAAAACAGTTAAAAATATAATATATTATAAAATTGGTAAGTGAGCTAGCTTTGGCTTTTTCGGGGATAATTATTGTGTTCTCCTAATTGTAACAGAGAAATACTGGGAAATCTCTGTAGGCTGATGGCATTTCATGCAGTACAGCCTTATAATCTTAAAATGTGAGCAAAATCACCAGTTTTGTCCACACCTTAGACATTACGCTAGAGAATCTTTCAAATACTAGCTCTAAAGTGACATTGGTGAAGTAGCAATGGTTTCTGCTGTTCTGACAACAGCTGCAAATGTGAATGAATAGCGGAAGAAAGTAGCTCCTAATACAAAAGGATTTCTAGACTTTCTGTGTCAGATTTTTTTGTAATATATATACACAATTACGCCATAAAACTGTTGTATAAATGCAATATCACACAAGTTGCAGTGCGATATGCCTGTATATCATCACTGATGGGACACCATGCACGCCTACCACCAGAGTCGTTATACAGCCACATTGTGTGATATTGCTCACATTTTTATTTTTGGGTGAACTACCCCTTTAAGACCCTCAAAATACGCATTATTAATTTCAATCCATTCAAAAATTATAATGTAATGTGACGTAAAATGAAATACCCTTCCAAGTCCGAACATATACAGGAACACTTTTATATACATATAAAGGTTGAACTGCCTTTAGCTGCAGTCTTGTGAAGTTACAGTATGATCCTTTAGAAAGAGTTAAAAAGAAACACCGCTCCGACAAATCAAGATGTCATCCGCAGGCAACGGTAATAATCTGTGATTCAGACATGAAGTCATCAGACACGCATGTCATCAGAGCATCTCAAGCCACATAGTGGCCGCTCTCGCTTGCAAAACACTTGAACTTTGAAAGTCAAAAAGCACTCCAGTGTACATTATATCAGAAACCCTACACTCAACAGCTTAAACACAGTAGGAGCATCTTAATGTTTACTTATTCTAGGCCTGTCAAATAGGCAAAGCTCTGCAGACATTTCAATACACCCACCCAAGGTTTTCACTATTATACTATCTCTGAATATAGATTTGAGAAGAGCATAATGGCCTTTACCTTGGTGAGAGGAATCGTTGCGATTTCCCCAGCCTTCTCGGACCTGCAAAGAAAGAAAATGTTCAAATTAACATGCTGGCAAAAGAATGGATTAAATAACCAGAGGAAAGTGTGATATACTATCTATTACTGAGAGGTACTTTGACTCTAAAATCCAGTTCTTTCGTTACTCCAATGACATTAAAGAGCAGGCTAGATAAGCGGTCAAAAGCCTAAAGGCAAGGCCAAAAGGGTGCTGCATGTGGAGCATGGAGTGAATCCGTTACAAGACTCGGTAAAAACTTTTCTAGGTTTGGTCCACAGGGTAAAGCGTACCTCCGATCTTTCAAACAGTCAGCCCTCTGGGAACGTGTGGACTGATTCTCCATTCCATTTTCATTCACTGTTGTGTCTTATAAAGTCCTTGCTTTTGGCTCGGTCCCTGTGTCTTTGAAATTCAAATAGTTTTCGTTCTTTTTACTGTGTGGCTTTGTAGCTGTAGGGCTGAATTTCAGAGGTACTAATCTGCTTTTGGAGAGAGGAATCTTGCAGTAGCACTTAATGTCTGGCCAGTTTTAAATCGTCCGGGAGGTTACGACTAACAGCAAATCAACTGAAGAGATTCAGCCACACACGAGACAATGGCAGAACTACGACTAAATACATTGTTTTGGTCCTTGTTGGCTGACAATTATTTGCCAATCGCTTTGCTTCAGGCCAGGAATGAGGAGACAGAACTGGTTTACTGACTACACTTTATCTTATTCGCGTTTCAATTCAAAGCAAGACAAATAGACCATTTCACTGGGGTCATGTCATTGGCCCATGAACATTTCCTGCTTGTAACTATTTCATAACTGTAACAAGAGGCAATTCAATCATAACTTAGTGTTAAACAGCAATCATAAATTTATCAATAACACACTCACACACAAAACCATACGCACACATATATTAATATTCACAGTAATATTCACAGACATAGAGCAGTGGCTTGACATAAAAAATTGTCATGGGGTTGGAATAAAGTACATTTGTCAGTCACCTGTTAATTTAAGCTAATTTAAGTTAATTATACGTAGACAGAGAAAAAAATTGCAACCTCATATGAGGTTTGACCTGTTAGCCAGCACTTTCTTCTGCGGATTTAAGCTGTGGTCTCACTGAACTTTTCTCCCCATAGACTTCCATTCATATGCACGCGAATGCGTCAGACCGGAAACGCAAGGTCATGGGTCAAGTTTCGCAGGTCCCTGCGGTGCAAAGTTCAAGCTTGATGAACTCTGACCTGCAAAATCGCATCACTTGACGATGTGAGACCAATCGAGGATCATAACATGACCTTTCTGGACAAAAATTTAAAACCTGGACCAACCGCTCGCCTTTTTTAAATGTCTAATGATCTTGTTTTATTCCGCCTCTTGTTGCAGCACTGCATGACAGAATTTCACATTATTAAACTCTAGTGTGACCGCATCTTTACACTTACCTAACTTTAAATAGTAACAGTGATTGACTCCAGTGAGCTACAAACATTAATTAGGTATCATAGGAAAGAAGACACTTTGAGCTTTACTATGTATATAGTCCATCTAAAAGTTTGACGCTAAAAAATATAAAAAGTTATACAGAGTGGGTATAGTTTGGTACGGAGACCTGAGAGGGATGTGATGATGGGGAAAAAAATTGGTGGAAAAAAAATTGGTGGAAGAAAAAAAAAACTCACTTGGAGAAAAATAAACAAAGTGATTGGAAAACATATTTTTTAAGATGTTTTGCGTTCCCTCGCAAAGATGTTTTGCGTTATCTCGCAAAGCTATTTCTCCACAAACACTTCCTATTCGCTTCATTCATGTAAACCAAGGAGTGCTCAACCCTGTTCCTGGAGATCTACCTTCCTGCAGATTTCAGTTGTAACCCTTATCAAACACACCTGTTTGTAATTATCAAGTGCTGTTCAGGTCCTAATTAATTGGTTCAGGTGTGTTTGATCGGGGTTGGAGCTAAACTCTATAGGAAGGTAGATCTCCAGGAACAGGGTTGAGCACACCTGATGTAAACCCTCCCGTTTTTGCCGAAATTCCCCCATATTTTACCATTCTATCCCACTTTCTTTCCAGTAAAGCTGTGCGTCGATCGTTGCCTTTCATATGCACCTCTGAACCAGTGAATGCATATATAAGCGCCGACTGACAGACGTGCTCCGTACAATAAACTGATCCCAGATCAGCTTCTGTACACGCCATTTACAGAGGAGCAAAAATGAAGGACACTTTTGAATTTGGGTGTATGTTTAAACAAATAGACAAATACACTGAATAATATGTAAACATCTCCGTCCTGCATGTTTTATTTTAAACAGCTATTTTTTCTCTTAAATGAGCACAAACAGTTTCTAAAGTAATGGAATGCTTTCATTATAGATCTGTGCATTCTTACAGAGACACCTCTGTTATCAATATATACAAAACGAGAGATCCATTTGTTGCTCACTTGTTTGATAACAGAGGTATTACTTTAAATGGCATGTACAGAAGCTGATCAGGGATCAGTTTATTGTACGGTGCGCGTCTGTCAGTCAGTGCTTATATATGCATTCACTGGTTCAGAGGTTGCATATGAAAGGTGACGATCGACACACAGATTCAATGTAAAGAAAGTGGGAAAGAATGGTAAAATACGGGACAATTTCGACAAAAACGGGAGGGTTTACAAGAATGAAGTGAACAAGAAGTGTTTGTGGAGAAACATCTTTGCGAGATCACGCAAAACATCTTTGCGAGGGAACGCAAAAACCTTAGAAATAAGTTTTCTTATCACTTAGTTTTTTTTTCTCCCACCCAGTTTTTTTTCCACCAATTTTTTCTCCATCATCACGTCCCTTTCGGGTCTCTGTAGTTTGGGGTTATTTCGATACTGATGCTAAATCGATACTTTTAAAATGGTACTGGTGCCAAAATAGTGCCTGAACCGATACTTTTGAGCCACAAAATTATAATGGATGACTCTAGAAAAATCTTTTATTTGACAAAACAACAAATATTTTAATCATATTAATTGAACAAGTATGCATCAATTCGTATTTCATATATTTGATTTAAATTACATAAATATGTTTCTTTTGATCATTTGTTTGTTAGCATGGATTTAAGATTTGCATTATGCAATTAACATTACATTAGCTTACTTCTAACCCATGGATAGGCTGTCATCAAAATAAGGGAACACCTTTTTTCTAGGGTTGGGGCTTTGATTACGTTTACATGGACATCAGTAATCAAAATTATTTGCCTTAATCTGAATAAGACAATAATAGGATTAAGGCGTTTACACGAGTTGCTTTTTAAATGTTCCTATAATAATGTTCCTCCGGAGTTTCATGTAATTTCGGGTGTTTAATTTTTCGACTTTAACTGAAGTTCAGCAGTTTCACTTTTGTTAATGAATGATGGTTTGGAATTCTGAATTCATAATTATATAAAAATAAAAGCAAAATTATTTTATAAGCAATGTGAGCAAGATGATGTCTAATTATAAGAACCTGTATATAACCTAAGATTCTGCATAACCTTAATGAACCATGTTTATCAGGTAATGTCTTTATACACATAAAGCAGATCACACATATGGAGCAGAATCTAAATCTGTGTGTGCATTGAACATATGTTTGTTTGTTTTTTCCTCTAATGACTAATGCATACTTCTGACAGAAACTGTGAAATTCTGTTTTTTTTTTAAACAGCTGCCATATACCGAAGGTAAAGTTTTAAATTATTCTGATGAATAACTTTTCAGACAAATTAGACTGCATCCAACATCTACACCTTTATATCAAGCCAAAACTTCCCTCTATATCTTCTTCCTTTTTTTCTACATTCTGTCTTAGACTCTGTGGTCTTTTTTGGAGTTTGATGCTTTCCCAGGTGCTTAGCTGGGCTGCGCAGGCTTGAGAAAAATATTTATAGAAAATGAAAACTGCTCACTTCCTTACTACTGCCTGGAGGAAAAGTACAGTCATATTCTAATTCGTCAAGCATATTTCACAACTACTGCTCATTTAAATTAGCATTTGCTTTCTTTTCCAGTTCCACATTTATAGTTTACTTGTCCGCTAGGGAAAGTAAAATTCACTTTTACTTGCTCATCAAAAAATTCCCTTGTTGAGCCTTGTCGTTAACGTCGAGCCCCCAAAGCTTTACAATCTTTACAATGCCTGCATAAAAATAATAATAATAATAATAATAACACTAAACAGCAATATTACTTACAGCTTATTTAACTAAACAGGGCTATTCACCTTTAAAGTAACTTTTAAAGAGGAGATTTAAAAACAATAAAAATAAAAAAATGAAAAAGTGTCCTACCTAGAAGTGGCCTCATTTTAATCAAAATACGGTAACTTTAGACTAACTGTAAAAACAAGGGAAACAACCAAAGGAGACCCCAGAATAAAAAAAAGTTTCCTATATATTATGTAAACTTCATGGACCAGTTATATATGTTAAAACTTTAAATTTGTGAGCAGTTTTAAAACCCCTGAAACAAACTTAATCAAAAATATGTCACTACCAACCTACAGTAACCTTAGCCTAACTATTTTAACCATACCTTTTAACCGTAATCAAAGAGCATTGGTATACAGTGAGGTTAAAGTTACTGTAGGTTGGTAGGAACTTGTAATGGTATAGCCCACAAACGAGCAGGAGTTTAGGCTACATAAGCTAGAGAGCCCAACTCTAGAAAATAGCTTGTTTACCAAGTCAATGCAAGAGTGCTACTGCAGTGCCTCAAGCAAACTCGTATATTGTGGATACCGGTTGTTATTATTATTTTTTTTGTAGATATACTTGAAGTAAATAGAGTAAATGGCTGGTAGAAGATGAACAAACAATCCTATCCAAATTGCAAAGTTAGCCAGATCTCGGCCTGTAGCAGCAGCAGTGAAAGGGTGTTCAGTGCTGCTGGATGCAACACCCTAAACACAGGACTGCGCTAAAGCCATTTACAGTGGATTCAATAATGTTCCTCCACAAAAACAAGAAGCCTAATCTTGGTGAGTAAAGG